GTCTCATGTCCCTCTCCTCCTGTCCCTCCTGCCAGAGAAGCTCTTCACGGAGGTGACTCCACGGTGCGAGAAGTGCCAGAGCGTGGTGAAACCTGGTGAGCCCGAGGCCAGGGAGCCTGCCCCGCCGACCCCTCCCAGAGGCCGCGCCTGCTCCCAGCCAGTGCCCCTATCCGTCCTGGGAAGACCGGGGTTCCGTCCCCCTGCTGTCCCGCTACTCCCCGACTCCACCCCCAGCCTCGTGGTGGGGCTCCTGCCTACTTTCTCTGTCTCCGTGTCACTGTGTCCTCCTGTCTCTGTGTCCGTCCATCTGTCTCCACCTCAGACATCATTTTTTTTGGCGAGAACCTCCCGGCGCGGTTCTTCTCGTGCATGCAGTCAGTAAGTGTCCCCGCCCCTGCTCCCCTGTGCGGGGAAGGTCACTTCCCAGCCACCCGTGGGGGGCCTGCTGCGGGGTGAGCAGAGGCCAGCTCACTGCCACTCCGCAGGACTTCCTGAAGGTGGACCTGCTCATCATCATGGGCACCTCGCTGCAGGTGCAGCCCTTCGCCTCCCTCGTCAGCAAGTAGGTGGGGTCAGGTGGGGGGCGGCGGGGGACGGGCCAGGACAGAGCCTGACCGCCCCTCCGCCCCCAGGGCGCCCCTCTCCACCCCGCGCCTGCTCATCAACAAGGAGAAGACAGGCCAGGTGGGTCGCGGTCGCCCTTCCTCCCCTCCTCCCTGCTGCGGGCTCCCTCCCGCTGGCTTTCTGAGAAGGAGGGGACAGGTCCCCGAGAGAATTCCAGCTGGGGAGTCCCAGGCCTTGGGGCTGCTTGGCTCAGACCCAGGAGTCAAGAACTGGAGCGGTCACGTTCCAGGCTGCCGCGACTCCACAGGGCTCAGGTCACTCGGACCCTTTCAAGCAAGTGACAGAGCCCACCTCAAACCTGCTAAAGCTACAAAAGAGGAGTGAAGTGCTTCCTGGGACCCAAGAGTCAGGCCCAGGGCCTGCGACTGTGGCGACAGGACAGCACAGGCAGGGCTGCCCCTCCTCCCCAGCTGTTTCCTGGGGTGGCCTCGCTCCGGCAGCTGCTGCCTTCGGGGAACCCCAGCTGGGCCTTGTGCCCTCCCGGGGAGGGGTGTCGCCCTGACTGACAGGGGCGCAGCTGCCAGGCCTGAGTAAGCATCCCGTGGGCTCCACACTGTTCCCAGCATGGACAGTTGTCCCCAGCACATCTGGTGCCCCCTGGGTTACCAGAATCCAAGGAGGCTGAGTCCTTGTGTAGAGCGGTGAGGGTGTGCCCAGGGCCTGCGCTCGTCCCTGGGCGCGTTCCGCCCTCTCAGGTGTCTTAGAACACGTCACCATGTCGGCGCTGGGGAGCGCTGCTGTCGGGCTGTTGTTTAGGGAATGATGACAAGAAAATAGGACTGGACGTGTCCGGTGGAGACGCAGTTTTTAAAAACCTTTTTCGACCCAGTCAGTTGAATCTGGCGGCAACGCCTACGGGCAGGGCAGGGTGTGTGGCGCTGCAGCCCTCCCCAGGGTGCCAGGACTGTCCCTACGGAACAGATAAGGCCCAGAGAGGCCCAGTCACTTGACCCAAATCCCAGAGCTGGGACACCGCCCAGGCACCTGGCCCCGGGGCTGTGCGCTCAGTGTCCCCTCCCCTGCAGACGGACCCCTTCCTGGGCATGATGATGGGCCTGGGAAGAGGCATGGACTTCGACTCCAAGAAGGCCTACAGGTGAGGCCGGCCGGGGCGCCATCCCGCAAGGGACAGTGCCGGGGGAGGGAGGCAGAAGGCCCAGGGACCCACAAGAACCAGCAGAGGCCTTGGCCTCGGCCACCGTTGACCGTCCTGCCCGCACTGCAGGGATGTGGCCTGGCTGGGTGACTGCGACCAGGGCTGCCTGGCCCTCGCTGACCTCCTCGGATGGAAGGTGAGCGGCTGGGGGACCCCAGCCTTCTGCTCCCAGTCCTTGGACCCCACCCAACCCACGCGTCCTCTGACCCTCTGGCATGTGGTGACCTCTGACTTCCACCAACTGTGCCCTGCAGAAAGAGCTGGAGGACCTCGTTCGGAAGGAGCACGCCAGCATCGATGCCCAGTCTGGGTCGGGGGCCTCCAACCCCAACACTGCAGCTTCCCCCAGGAGGTCCCCACCTCCTGCCAAGGAGGGGGCCAGGACGGCAGAGCCGGAAAAGCCCCAGTGACAGCCCCGACTCGCAGGCAGGACACCCAGACCCTCCGGGACAGCAGAGCCCCAACCAGCACTGGCCCCTCTAACTCGCAGCTCTTCTCTGGGGAGAGCCGTACACCCCCTCAGTCTCCTAACGACTCCCTCCTAAAACTGGGGTCCTAGCCACACCCCACTTTGTCCCAGCAAATCTCTAACATCCCTTAAAGCCAAGGCCTACGCAGCCTGACCTAACAGCCCACGGCCTCTGAGGAGCAGCCTCCCCTAACCTCTACCTGCTCCCAGGAGGCCAGGGGTGCCCCCAAACTTCTGTCACCGAAGGGGGCCAAGGGCCCTCACTCTACTGCTTCAGCGACCTGTGGCCAAGCAGATCCAACCCACCCACCCTAGACCAGGGCGTGGCCCTCCCAGTACGGCTCCCACCTCCCACCGAGGTTGGGGAGGGTCTGAGCCTGATAGGGCTCCTGGGCCTCCGCCTCCAACTCCCAAAGTAGGTGCTGGGCCCCCTCCCCTGGGACCCTGCCCACGTGGGGATGGGCAGAGGAGGTTGTTTGTTTGGACACAAATTAAAAAACCAAAACCAACTAACCGTCAGCTGGCTGGCCTCTGTGTTCCTTTCTGGGGGTACTTGAAGCCCCAGCGGGTGGGGTGAGGTCCTGAGCCACCGAGGGCACAGAGCTGCTCCAGGCTCTTCAGAGACGCAGCGAGGGGTGCCAGGAGGGGACCCTAAGGGTGGATGGGCCTCCTGACTTTGAGCTCTGGCCTCCAGACCTGTCACAGTCCCTTCCTTCAGAGTCCCATCTCCTAAGCCCTRAGCCCCCGGAAAGAGGGGGGAAGGTTGATTTCAGATACCCCCAGCCCCGCCTCTTCCCCTGCCTGCTCGGCTTCCTCTCTAGAGGACACTTTCACTTCCTGCTACCCCAGGCATCCYGTCGGAAACAGGTAGGGCCCCCAGGGACCCAGCATCTGGCATCTGCACCCCAGCTGCCCCCACCCAACCTTGGCCTCCACCACCCACATCCTCCCCCTCCCAGGGGACACCCGCCTCCTGGCCTCACCCTCTCCGCCGTCTACTGGACTAGGCACACACCTGCCCCTGCCCGCCTCCTTCCTCACCCTGGGCTCTGAGTCAGTGGGACGATTCAATCTCTTAGCTGCTGTCACACACCACCTCAGCCGGGAAGGGACTCCTCAGCAGGGCCCTCCAGGCTCATCACCCTCCCCCGGGTACGGCACCTAACTCTAGGCCTGAGCTCAGTGATGTTTTCTCCTTTCCTGTTCCTGGAACTGCTACAGGGAAATACTCAAAAGTGCTCTTCTGAGGGATAAGCCCTTTTGGACTCTGTACCTGGGGTCTAGCTGGGCACAGTGACGCATGCCTGTAATCCCAGCCACTTGGGAGGCCGAGGCAGGAGGATCACAAGTTCAAGGCCAGCCTCAGCAACTTAGTGAGAACCTGTCTCAAAAGGGCCAGTGAGCTGTGGTTGTGGCTCAGAGGTAGAGCACTTGCCTAGCATATGTGAGGCACTGGGTTTGATCCTCAGCACCACATAAAAAGTGAATAAATAAAATAAATGTATAAAAAATAAATTAATTAAAAGGGCTGGGGATGTAGCTCCTTGGTTCAATCCCCTGTACTGAAAGAAAAAAAAAAAAAACAACTACTAGGGTCTGATGGAGGGATTATGGCTTAAGAAGCAGATGTGTAATAAGGCAAATAGGGGTAAATGTTCACAGTGGATCCCCGCAGTGGGCATTCAGATGCACTAAAAAATTCTTTTGAGATTTTCTGTAGGTTTGAAAATTTTTACAAGAAAATGTTGAGCCGGGCCTGGTGGCGCATGCCTGTAATCCGGGCAGCTCGGGAGGTTGAGGCAGGAGGATCTAAAGTTCAAAGCCAGCCTTGGCAACTTAGAGGCCTTAAGCAACTCAGGGAGACCTGTCTCCAAACAAAATACAAAGAAAGGGCTGGGGGTGTAGCTCAGTGGTTAAGTGCCCCTGGGTTCAATCCCTGGTACGAAAAAAAGAGAGAAAAGGTTCAGAAAAAAATATTGTAGGGCCCCTCCGTAGTCTGAGAAGGGAGAAGAGGACACATGGTCTTACATTGGACAAATGTCGCTGCATTAGGGACAGAGACCTCTTTCAGACCCTGGGTTTCGGCAAGCTCCACATTCAGCCAGTCCACATTTGCACGGCTACAGCAGCTGAGAAAACCCTGGCATATTCCCTGCCCCCTGGCAAATAGCTTCTGTTGTGGGTCTTCTCCCCACACCAATGACACCAGCCTTTCTCCGGGATCCCCAGATTTCTCCACCATCCAGCAATTAAAGAATTAAAACCTGGGGCACTGGAGTTAGTGGTCACTGGAGTCCTTTCTGAATGGCCAGGGTCCCTGCTGTACTGGTGGGGAGCAGCCTTGAGCCCTATTTCCCCCCCTGTCAGAGGCCAGGCCACGGCTCACTGGCTTCCCATACCCTGAAGGTGGTCCAGCCAGACATGGCCTCCACGGCTCCCACCAGGGGGAGAGGTGAGGGCTGCCAGGGCCAAGGTCTCCATCTCTGGCCCCCAAACCTATAAATCCCTTCTATCTTTATCCCCATGAGACCCTGAGCCCCGTCTCTGACCCTTTGTCCCTAGGCTGTCCCTGTCTGCACCTTTGACCCCAGCTCCATGTCACACTGCCCACTTCTGATCCCTGACCTCCTGGACTCCGTACATCACGGGCTGGTCCTGCCACAGGCAAATGGAGCAGGCAAGACTCCTCTAGGGGTCCTCGGCACCCCACTTCTTCACCTGCAGAGGACGCGTGGTGTGTGGCAGGTCCCAGAGTTAGAGGCCAATGATGCAAAGGCCCTGGTGGAGCTGTGGCCACTAGGGGTGAGTCTCAGAGCTGAGGACCCTCCCACGACACTTGGGACCACCAGGCAGGACCCTGTTGGTTGTGAGAAATGAAAAAACCCAGAAGTAAAAGTAGCTTCTGGAAGGTCTGGATTCTGAGCCTCAGACAACCTGTGACTTTCTCCTCCTCCCATGTCTTGGCTTTGCTTTCAACAGTGGGAACTCTGGATGTTTGGGTCTGTAACAAAGGCTCAGTCTAGGGTGGCTTCAACAGACATTTATCCCTCAACATAACTAGAAAGGCAGCTGCCACTCTGGGCCAGCAGCTCAGTGTCATCAAGGCCAGCTGCTCTACAATTCTTTAGGACTTCCCCCATGATTCCCCAGGCCCAGCCCACATGTATTCCAGGCAGGAAGAAAGGAGTTCCCGGATGTATCTGTATCTTTCTTTTTCCCTTTTGACCAGGAAAAGCAAAGGCAGAATACCTGGGTTCAGTCACTGCTGGGGGAGCAGGGGGTAAGGGGGGGACAAGCTCACCTGGGAGTTATACGGTCAAAGCTAAGAGCCACTCCAATCAGATCCTTTGGCCTTTCCTGTGGCGCGGCATGCTGATGCATTGAACAAGGGGTTCTGCCAGGAATATGGGCAAGATTTGGAAAGGACAACTAACAGGATCTCTCACATCTTCCTCCTCAGGAGGACACTGTCTTTTGTGGTGACAAAGATGGTGACAAAGTCCCCAGATCAGGAATCTATCCCACCAACTCAGCAACTTAGCAACCCCAGTGTAAAAAGAGATCTTTTGAGGGGTGGCATGCTACCTAACCTGCACAGGGCCCTGGCTTCTATCCCCAACATTTTGAGAAAGAGAGAGAGAGAGAGAGAGAGGTTTTCCAAGAGCTTTAGCAAAATTCCCATGGAAGATGTCCACTGGCTAAGCTTGGTCACATGCCCTGAACCACAAAGTAGGCAGAGAGCAGTCATAGTACTGGTAGGTTGAGTCACCGTCCCACGTCCTAAAGCTTGGGGAACCCGTCTCACCCACATGGAACTCAGAGTAGGGGGAGAGTTTGTATCCACAGGTACGCTTGTCAAGTTGACCTTTGCCCCCACCCCCACCCCCAGAGTTTCCTGGTCACCGGACATGACCCCAGCCAAGTCCTGGTGTTGAAGACAGGACCTTCACCAGGAGAAGTCAACACCTACAGGATCCAGAAATTGCCTGGAGGTGAGGCACCTCCCTGTGGTTTCCAATGTATCCCCAGGATCTGTCAGCTTTCATTCCAGAATATCTCCTAAATCGGCCCCACCCTGCCTGCCCCTGTCACCTAAGTAAGTCTGAGCCCCCATCACCTGTTGCCCGGATCATGGCGGTAGTCCTGCTCTGGTCTTGCTGAAATCCACGCTGAGCACAGCTACCAGGGTGGTCTTTCCAGACATCACTCGCACTTTGCACACCCCTTCCTCCAACCYTGCCAATGCCACGCAACATGCTTAGATACAAACCCAAGCTTCTCATCGCAGCCTGTAAGATGCTGTGCCATGGAAACCCCTTCGTTAATGCCCCTCCTGCACTCTGTTCCCGCCATGCCCTGTCTTTTGAGCAGCGAATTTGTCTGCTGAATATTTGTCTGACGACTGAATCCTATTTGGTGGCATCAGTGGGATGCAAGAATCAAGAGGGAGGAAAAGATGGGGACTCTAAAGGATGGAACTGTCCCTGTTCTGAAGGCCCCTGCGCGCAGGTAGATTGCAGGGATGGTGGTAGAGTGTCCCAGGAGAGAGGAATCTGCCAACCCTCCAGTCTTGTTGCTTTTTTTTCTTTTTCTTTGTTCTTTGTTCTCATCCCTACTTGCTTCCTGCCCCCAGGTGTGTCCCTGGAGACCTCCAACCTCTGCATGCCAGACCTGYCCCACCTCCTGGCCTTCTTATCAGCTAGCAGGTACTGGTCACCCATCAAAGGGGCTCAGGGGGACTGTCCCTAAGATGCACACTGTGGTTCTCTTCTCTTTTCTCAGGGATGTTTTGCCTAAAACACTGCTCCTGCCCTCTTCTACTCTGGTGCCCGGAAAGAAATACAAAGGTAAAGACGAGCGGGTGGCCTTGCTGGCCCACTACTCCACAGGGACTGGACTTGAGGGACCAGATCACTGGGTTTGAAGGAGGACGATGCCAGGGATCAGAGAGGGCTGTAGGCCTAGATTTGGGGTCCTTTAGCGAGGCGGGGATGGGATCCTGGACTCCTGAGTCCTAACAGAGGACAGAATTAGAAAAGGAGGGACCCGGGGGCCTTCCATTCTTGGTCTAGAGTGAAGAAGGCTAGGAACTAAGTCTCTTGGTGCTCTGAAGGGACCAGGGCTCACCCCAAGACACCTGGGACACCTACTTGTGCTGGTCTCCAGATTCTGTGCAGGTTGGCAGGGTACAAGGTGACCCCTCAGGGGGGGCGCTGTCTGTGGTGAACCAGCTCTACCTGGAGACGCACGGAAGCTGGGGAACAGAGCAGAACCCCCAAACGASGGAGCCAGAGACTGCCCAGAGGCATGATCCAGGTGAGCTGGGACCTTGGGAGAGATGAGGGCGCTGCTCCCGCTGCTCKGTGGAACCCAACCCTCTCCTCACTTCCAGCCGCCAGGAACCCCGCCCAGCACCGGGTCTCCTGGGTGGAAGGGCCGCTCAGCCCAGAGGTGCGCCCTCCTGGGCCGGCTCTGGCCAGTCTGGTGGAGGAGAAAGAGGAGGAGGACGAAGACAATGACCCCTACAAGGATGACGTGGAAGCCCCGGAGGACGTGCTCACTGTCCACGTCCGAGCTCTGGCCAGGGCGCGGAGCAGCTACGTGGCCAGGCAGTACCGGGGCTTCCGGGCCCGCCTCACCTCGGATTCCGTGGGTTCCCACAGGCCAGGAGACCCGGCCACCGAGCTGCTGCAGGATGTGCGGCACCTCCTTACTGACCTCCAGGATTACTTGTCAAAAGACCCCGACGTCAGAGCTGTCTTTGGGAACAGGGGCCTGGGGGGCCCCCAGAAGGACGAGGATCTTGGTAATGGGGAGGGCTGGAAGGGAACCCCACAGCCTCAGGTGCGCATTCACTTGGCCCTTCCTATGCGTTCGCATCCACCTTCTTTCTCCTGATSGGTGCGCACACCTGTTTCCTCTCCACTCACTGCCCCTTTCCTGCAAGTCACAGCCCGTTCATCAACCGGGCGGGGTGGTGCTCTCCTAGCTGGGGAGGCTAAGGCAGGAGGATCGCGAGTTTAAAGCCAGCCTCAGCAAAAGCGAGGCGCTAAGCAACTCAGTGGGACCTTGTCTCTAAATAAAAAGCAAATAAATAAAAGAACCTGTGCCCCCCACGCACCGTCTCACTCGTGCGTGGACAGCCCTACGCTTTGTCCCAGGCACGTGTTCACACCTCTATCTACCCTGAGGGTGACCAGAAGCTGGGGAGGGGTAACGGCCTGCCAGAGTAGGTCAACTGGGTGGCCTGTCCTCACTCGCCCCACGCCCCGCAGGTCCCGCTGTGGAGACGGCCGTTTGCCGGGCGGTGCTGGAGCCCCTGAAGCCTGCACTGTGGACGCGACTCCGCACGCTCCGCGCCCAGGAACTAAGGCGACTGAGGCGGCGGCAAATAGCCCTGCGGGTGGGGGCGGGGCCTCCAGGTGCTCAGGGGGCGGGGCTTGAGGGTCCAAGCCCCGCCCCCGCCCTGCGGAGCCGCATCCACGCGCGCCTAGAGCACCTGCACGCCGCGTGCGCGCCGCGCCGCAAGGTGGCGCTCCTGCTGGAGGTGTGCAGCGACGTGTACTCGGGCCTGGCGGGCGGCGACAACCAAGGTAAAGGAGCCGTGGGGGTCTAACTGGGAGTGCGGTGGCTTGAGGGCTGGGGGAGCCAGGTAGGATGCACCTGTGCGCACGTCGAAGAAGAGGGTGGCAGAGGGTGGCGGGCCTGAGGATTCTGGGAGGAGGCGTTTGTATACTGGACAAGGTGGGGAGGCAGCCAGGTCTCGCGGTCCTGGGGATCGGATGGCAGATGTCTCCACCGCCCCCGCCACCTCAGGACCTGTCCTCTGGCTTTCCCAGAACCCCTGGGGGCCGACGCCTTCCTGCCGGCCTTGACCGAGGAGCTGATCTGGAGTCCGCACATTGGGGAGACACAGCTGGACGTGGAGTTTCTAATGGAGCTCTTGGATCCCGACGAGCTACGGGGAGAGGGTGAGTCCCCACCACCTCCAGAACACCTGCAGCAGGAAAGGCGGGTGACCGGAACCCCGAGAGCCGCGCTGACCGCCCCTTCTCGTCCCCAGCCGGGTACTACCTGACCACGTGGTTTGGGGCGCTGCACCACATCGCCCACTACCAGCCTGACGCGGGCCGCGCACCGCAGGGGCTCAGCTCCGAGGCCCGTGACTCCCTTCGCCAGTGGCACCGCAGGCGCACGCTGCACGGACAGAACCCACTTGGAGCCCAGGTGACCACCAGTCAGGGATGCGGGAGGAGGGGGGAGTGGGACCTGTTTTCCTCCTGACTCAGGCTCCCTGCACCCCCCACAGGCCAACCTGCCATTTGAGGAGCCATGGGCAGTCGCCACTGTGCCAGGGGCCACTGATGATTAGCCGTCTCAGACCCTCTTTGCTCCTCAAGCAAGATACAAAGGCGTCTGGGACAGTGCGGTTTAGGGACAGCAAGACGGAAGGGTGGGCTGGGGATGTGGCTCAAGCGGTAGCGCGCTCGTCTGGCATGCGTGCGGCCCGGGTTCGATCCTCAGCACCACATACCAACAAAGATGTTGTGTCCGCCAAAAACTAAAAAAAAAGAATAAATATTAAAGTTCTCTCTCTCTCTCCCTCTCACTCTATCTTAAAAAAAAAAAAAAAAAAAAAAAGACGGAAGGGTTCCAGGAAAAGGAAATGGCCACCTCAGGACCTTTGCAAGAGCTGTTCCTGCTTCTTGGAGTGCCCTTCCCTAATATCCTCAGTGTACCCTCTCTCCCCTCCAGGTCCTTATGCAGATGTCACCTCAGGGAGGCTCTCCCTGACAGCCCTTTGTAGAATGGTATCTACTCCCACCTGACTCAGTGATAGGCAAAATAATGACACCCCAGAAGGATGTCCCAACCCAATCCCCCCAATCCGTGAATATGCTATCAGGTGTGCTCACATCAAGGACAGAGTGAGAAGGTTAGCCGTGCGCTGGCTCAAGGGTCCCTATRAGAGGGAGTTAGGGGGCTGGGGACATAGCTCAGTTGGCAGAGTGCTTACCTCGCATGCACAAGGCCCTGGGTCCAATCCCAGCTCCAAAAAAAAAAAAAAGGAGACAGGGATGCTGTTGGCATGAGCCTTTAGTCCTAGCTACTTGGAGTTCAAGGTCAGCCTGGGAAGGCCCCAGTTCACAAAAAAAAAAAAAAAAAAAAAAAAGGTAGAGGGAGAGTCAGAGGAGCAATGATGCCAATAGAAATCAGAGTGGTGTGGACATCAAGGCGGACACTCCAGCAGATAAAAGACAAGGCATGGATTGTCCCCTGGGACTTCAGAAGGAACTCGTCAGCTTTTGTTCTGGACTTCTGACCTAGAGAGCTATAAAATAATAAACTTGTTCAAGTCATTGAGATTGTGGTGATTTCATATAGCAACGACAATTTTTTTTTCTTTATTTTTTTTTCCTCAAGATGTACCATATAACCCAAGCATGGTGGTGCACATCTGTAAATCCAGCAGCTCAGGAGGCTGACACAGGAGGATCAAGAGTTTAAAGCCAGCCTTAGCAACTTAGCGAGGCCCTAAGCAACTCAGTGAGACCCTGTCTCTAAATAAAATATTTTTAAAAAGGGCTGGGGATGTGGCTCAGTGGTTAGGCACTGAGTGGTTAAGTGGGTTATTTCTACCATAGAACACAATGTACTCGTTTTTTGTGTTAATTGTCTTCTGTCCCCGTAGAGTAGAAATACAATACAAACTATGAATGTAATTCTAAAATTTCTATTAACTACATTAATAAAAATTAAAACAAAATCTGGGGTGTAGCTCAGTGGTTGAGTGCTTTCTTGGCATTCTCCAGTCCCTGGGCTCCTGGGTTCCATCCTAGCACAATAACAATAGGGAGAAAAAAAAAGAAGGAACGAAGAGAAAAAAACCTAAAACCAGTGAAACTATTGAGCTATTTAAAACTCATACTGAACCAGATGGGGAGGCACACTACTCTAATCTTCAGCCCTTTTTATATTTTATGTAGAGACAGGGTCTTGCTGAGTTGCTTAGGGCCCTGCTAAATTGCTGAGGCTGGCTTTGGACTCCCAATCCTCCTGCCTCAGCCTCCCCAGCTGCTGGGATCACAGGTGTGCACCCTTGCACCCAGTGATGGTAAGGATCTGAAAATGGGAGGAGTCTGGGACGGTTTTAGTGGGCTCCAAAGGCAACCATGAAAGAGGGAGACAGAGGGAGATCTCAACAAATAGGAGAGGGTGGTGTGAAGCCAGAGCAGAAAGCAGTTCAGAGGTGCTGGCCCCGGGCTGGGGCTGGGGCTCAGGGGTGGAGCGATTGCCTAGCATGTGAGAAGCACTGGGTTCAATCCTCAGCACCACATAGAAATAAATAAAATAGAGGTGCTGCCTTTGGAGACTGCAGTGATCCCATGAGCCAGGGAATGCTGTAGCCACCAGAAGCTGAAAGACGCAAGGGACCAAGGCACCTTTAGAACCTCCAGATGGAACGCAGCCCTGCTGACACCTTGACTTCCAGCCCAGAGATGCTGATTTCAGACTTCTGACGTCCAGAATGGTGAGTGGACACACGTCTAGTATTTGTTTGTTTTTATGCCAGGGATTAAACTCAAAGGTGTTTAAACACTGAGCCACATCCCCTGCCCCCCCCCTTTTTTGAAGAATTTCTTTTTTAATTTGTAGAGGAACACAATACCTTTATTTTGTTTATTTATTTCTTTATGTGGTGCTGAGGATCGAGCCCCATGCCTCACGCATGCTGGGGGAGTGCTCTACCACTGAGCCACAGCCCCAGTACCCACCTACCCTTTTTTATATTTTATTTAGAGACAGAGTCTCATTGAGTTGCTGAGGCTGGCTTTGAACTCACGATCCTCCTGCCTCAGCCTCCAGAGCCCTGGGATTACAGGCATGTGCCAGTGGACCTGGCATATGTCTACTGGTTTAAGCTACCAAAAGTGTATTCATTTGTAACAGTGGAAATTAATAGTATATAAAAAAGAAAAATAGGAGTCCAACGGAGGCTCAATTCAGTCTCGTTGTAGCAACAGGGACATTCATCCACAGGTAGAAGGAAAATTAGGAAAAGCCCTCTCACTGGGTGCGGTGGTGTGTGCCTGTAATTCCAGCAGCTCAGGAGGCTGAGACAGGAGGATCTCAAAGCCAGCCTCAGCAATAGTGAGGCACTAAGCAACTCAGTGAGATCCTGTCTCTAAATAAAAAACAAAAAAAAAAGGGCTGGGGGTGTGGCTCAGTAGTTAAGTGCCCCTGAGTTCAATCTCTGGCACCCCCACCCCCCAAACACACAAAAAGAAAAGCCCCCTCAATTCAACTCACCAGAAATGCACTGCCATTTAGATTTTCCAGTTGATAGCGGGGGAAGAGATGGAGAGAGGATGGTGAAAATTGGACAAGAGAAATCCCTTCTAATGTTCTACTGCACAGTTGGGTAACTATGATTGACAACAATTAATTTTATATTTCAAAATAGCTCGTAGATTTTCAATTTCAATATTCCCAACATAGAGAAATGACAAATGTTTGAGATGATAGATGTGCCAGTTATCTGATCAGATCATTACACGTTATAGACATGTGTTGTGATACGACCCTGTACCCTATAACTATGGATAATTATTATGTGTCACATAAAAAGGTTTTAGAAAATTAAAATTTTACATTTTATAATGATCAAAATCCTGTAATTTAGATGTCAACTAAAAAAGATGCACCAGGAAATAAAGTGTTTCACAATTTTTTTTTATACTTCAATTGCATTGAACCTGGGGCTTCACACATGCTAGGCAAGCCAGGGCTTTATTGCTCAGCTACATTTACAGCTCCCAATTATTTTTTATTTTTTGATAAAAGTTTGTTCAGATTGAACCCAAGCATGCTTAGCTGCTTCCAAGTCCCCAGTCCTTTATTTTATTTTTCGACAGAGTCTCTCTGAGTTGCTTAGGACTTCATTAAGTTGCTGAGGCTGGTCTGGAACTTGTGATCCTCCTGCCTCAGCCTCCCGAGCCACTGGGATTACACCACACCCAGACTTGGAATCATTTTTTTTTTAATATTTATTTTTTAGCTTTAGGTGGACACAATATCTTTATTTTATTTGTATGTGGTGCTGAGGATCGAACCCAGTGCCTCCCGCATGCCAGGCAAGCGCCCTACCACTTGAGCCATATCCCCAGCCCCTTGCAATCATTTTTGAAAGCTAAAAAGCTTGAGGATAGCAGAGCATAGTGGCATATGCCAGCTACTTGGGAGGCTGAGACAGGAGGATCTGCATGTTCAAAGCCAACCTGAGGAAAAAAAAAAATCCCAGCAGCTTGGAAGGCTGAGGCAGGAGGATGGAGAGTTCAAAGCCAGCCTCAGCAAAAGCGAGGCACTAAGCAACTCAGTGAGACCCTGTCTCTAAATAAAATACAAAATACGCTGGGGATGTGGCTCAGTGGTACACATCAGTGATTGGCCGACTCGGAGCTGTGGCTTGCTGCCCCAGATTGCACCTTACTGCACCTGGCTAGTCCATGCAAAGATCAAAATTCAAAATTTAGGGTTGGGGATGTGGCTCAAGCGGTAGCGCGCTCGCCTGGCATGAGTGCGGTCTGGGTTCGATCCTCAGCACCACATACAAACAAAGATGTTGTGTCGACCAAAAACTAAAAAATAAATATTAAAATTCTCTCTCTCTCTCTCTGTCTCAAAAAAAAAAAAAACAACTCCATGTGTTTAAAAAAAATTCAAAATTTAAAGTATGGGGCTGGGGCTCAGCGGTAGAGCCTTGCCTAGCACGTGTGAGGTGCTGGGTTTGATCCTCAGCACCACATAAAAATAAATAAATAAAGCAAAGGTAATGTGTCCAACTACAACTAAAAAAAAAAATTAAAAATCTTAAAGTATGGTTTCTACTGAATGCACATAGTTTTTGCACCAATATAAAATTTAAAAAATCAGGCTGAGGGTGTAGCTCAATGGTAGAGCGTTTGCCTAGCATGCTGGGGGCTTTGGGTTTTATCCTCAGCATTAAAAATTAAATTAAATTTAAAAATTCTAAGTGAAAGTTACCATCTAATACTAAGTTAATATCAGTCACTTGGGGACTGTCTGTATAAAAAATTAGTCGGTTGCTTCCCTCAGTTCTGTGAGCCATGCTAGCAAATCCATCAATTCTGAGGAGCGGATCATGGGAATCTCCCAGATGGTTGGTCAGAAGTACAGGTAACAACCTGGGACTCATAACTGGCATCCAAAGTAGGCGCTGGCTTGTAAGACTGAGCCTACAACCTGTGGGATCAGATGCTCTCTCCAGGTGGATAGTGTCAGAATTGAGTTAAATTATAGGACACCACGTTGGTATCCGCTGCAGAGTTGGTGTGTGTGGAAAAAAGTCCCTTCACATCTGGTGTCACAGGGTTAAGTGAATTGCATGGGGTTGGGAGAAAAGTGTGTTGAGAAAATCACAGGGAAAAAGCTTCATGACTTTGGCTTTGGCCATAATTTCTTGGCT